GTACGTGCCCAAAAGGTGTCGTATTGCTTTTCCATGAACAACCACGTGTATTCCAATGCGGCAAAGTAAATAGCTGTTTTTATGAAAACACGCAGCTACGGTTAAACCCGTGCCAGCTCGAGTTACGTCGATTCGTTGTACTCTTTCACCTCCTTTTTTTTCAAATACACCTGCCACTTTCGCAGCACGTGCCATGAAAAAGTTCAAGGAGATTTCTCGATGGTAACATTTTCTTTAAGAGACCTCGAATCGTTTCACGACAGAGATTCGACTCGATATCTACGATCAGCCGCGAGAACCTACGAACGCCTATCGAATTTTGTACATCCGACTTACCAAAGAAAGTAGAATCGCGGTTTGTCACTGTGTTATTTATGTAATATCGTGATTGAATATATTTACAATGAACGGATGCTACAGGTGTTAATCAGACAGAAAAACGATAGTTGTTCAACATGAACTAATCGCAGCAAACGTGCAATAAACAGCACAACTAAATAAGTAATCAACGACTCGACTTTCATAAACGCAATCAACACTCTCTCAGCAACGCAACTCGCAATCACTGTTGATTCGTTTCTCGTCCCCTAGCAACCGCTCGTGGCCAAGATGCTCCTTTTTCCAAAACTACGCGATCGAAACGAACGCCTCGGCTCTCGCGACGTTCCACGCGGTTCACCCGCCAACTCCCAGGCTCCTCGCTCGCGATACTACATTTATATTTACACGCCGATACAATTATCATCGATGTATTTCGAAAATGAATCAGACCAATTCGAACACTCGACTCGCAAAAATTGTGGGATAAATCCGCCATCAGGATCTTTACGAAACTTTAAATTTTGTCAACGTCAAGTTGATAAAAAGACATTATTTATGCTTACACGAGGAGATGTCAATACAATATCGATCCTACCACTTTTATTTCACGTAGATATAACACAGCTGTAATTCATACTTGTAACGTTGTATTTTATAATCTTTTCTTTTGTCTTAGTACGCGGGTCAGAACGAATAAATTGTATTACATTTTAACAGTATGTATCTTAACGCGCTAAAAAGATTCGCGGAGCTGACGTTTTCGTCGAGAATTGCGAGTCTTAATCGCCGAAATAAATGTATCGGAACGCTTAGATTACACTTAGAATTGACATCAAAATAGTTTCAGATTTATTTAATATGTGATTCACAAGATCTTCGTCGATACACATTTGCACGCGTCTCGGCGTTCTCTTTGTCTCTCCGTCTTCTATACCACACTACTCGCGGAACAGTTGCATTCATCTGCTTTACGAGATGCTGTGCACGCACATATTTCCACACACTCATACTCATATATGTGTATCACTACTACGCGGCTAATCTAGTGTAGCACACAAAATTCATATATTCAAGAGATGGACTTAATTTTAAGAGTTTTGTGGCTGACAGTAGTTCTATGTACACGTACTCCCGTTCAAACTAAAACGATTTTTAGTTTCATAGAAGATGTGATCATTCGTATCTCAACCTAGTAACTACCTAGGTAATTTAAATCATCGAGCAAATGATCAACCGGTCACGAAGTTGCATTCGTACAACGACCAATATCGTCGATTAAAACGTCGATTAATATTTTTACTTTCTTCGAACGAATTTGAAGAAAAAATCGCGTGGAAAGTAACTTCGCACTTCGGTCATTTCTCTAGCTGCATAGGAAATCCAAGAAAAGGGGAAGGGAACTGGTTCAAGGAATAATAAGCCCGGCAAGGAATAATAAGCACGAAGACGTGAAGTTTAACGGACGATTCGTAGCGAGACCTTCCGTAGCACCGTCGAACCGAACGCTTTTCAGTTGTTGGCATCGTAAACCGACATTTTATGACACGCGCCGCTGGATTCACCACCAACTATCTACTTTCCCGACAGCTAAGCGCGTTTGTATTCGTTTGCTGTCCAACTTGCTTCGGTTTTGTCACAGCTTCATACATATTTAAATTCCGTACGACGGATCACACCCCAGGCGTCAATTTTTATCTAACGGCGGTCGTGCATCTCGTGGTTGCAACAGATTGAATTAAACCGTAGAAGTTTCTGGAAACGCAACGACAGAGATCATTTTTCTAATTCAATGCAACGAAACGAACGTCAACGAGAAACGCAGATTTATTTATGTGGGATGGTGTGACGTTAGGGAAAAACGTGGCTGATTGTTTATAAACGTTGTCAAGATATGTTAGTGTTGTCAAGGAGTGTTGTGAGCGTTACCAAGGTTTGTTAAGGGAAAATGAGCGTGGTAATTGCTTTCAGAATTGAATTAATCGTGGTCGAGGGAAGTTCATCGTGTTGCTGTGACGTAGAAATAATGAAAAGCGAATTCGTGAAACGCGATATTATATTCGATTTTGTGAGAGTGTAACGATATTGTGTTTATTATACTGTCTTTTCTGTTAATTTATAATATAACATTCACACTACACACTAACATTCACTACATTTATGCGAAAGAATGATTAAAGCGATTGACTCAATGCCAACGGGACAAACGTTTATCTCGTGCTATCACGTAATTTAATTTAATTTAATTTGCGAGAATTTAATATAAAAGAATTGCCAAAATATTGTAAAGAATAAAGGTCTTTTTTTACAAGGATATTCTCGATGAATCGTATTTAAAAATTGACAAAGAAGATAAACGCGGAGGATGAGCAAAGGGGATACAGGCGCAAAGATGAGACAGAGGTCCAATTAAGGGGTGTATGCACGGTGAGTCGTGAGTGGCACGAGGACATCGTTACAGCTGCAAGATCGCCATTATGCCACGACAAGGACCACCCTAACGACGCGAACCTTCGTGATTTATGGTGTAGCGAAAATGTTCCGCAGAACGCGGCGGATTATGTATCTACCAGGCTAACTTTCCCGAGATACTTTGCAAGGCTAGATTAAGAGAATAATGGGCTTGCTTTTTGTCCTGCTCTCTTCAACGAGATTAACTCTAGAGACACCGTAATATGCAACTGTTCGCGGTTCCAACGAGCTCCTCATTAACCGTCCAAAATACAGGATCGTCCGCTATCGATGAATATTCTCTGCCGGTGGTAGAACTTTCTATTTAGTCGAATAAAAGGTTGCTTAAATTTTTGTGCAACGTTCTTTGAAAATTTTCTTTAAGTTGGAAGACGTTGCTTAAAGAGGATCGGTTCGACGTTAATTACGATATCGATTTCGTTATTACGAACTTATGGCAGTTTTAGATAGTAGTCGCTTAGAACGAATCTGACTGAATCTAACCGAAGAAAGAAAAGACGTAACGATCGCCGACTATTGGTCGATTTTCCAAAACTACTCAACGTATATATCGCTGAAGTTGGAAGAAAATCGAAAAACTGTTTTCACGGTTCAATTGGCAACACGTTGCAGTCGAAAATTCGCAATTCTCCCGGCAACCGTAATACCTAGGAACGAGCTGTACGAGTTTAAAGTGACTCCGTTGGTATTTCAGGTTGCTGCGTTTAACTGCACTTGAGAGAATTATAATTTGCCCGATACGGTTTGAAATTACAGCGATTCCGCAGAACCGCCACGTGTAATAACCGAACCCGTGGTCACTTCAAACGTTGTAGTTTAATATTTAACCGTTTCCATCCCTTTATCGCTTACTCCGTTCATCAAGAAACACCCTTTCTAACTTCTGACCACCGTCGTACCTTCGAAGATACACACGTTTAACAGCAATTTCATATGTGTTATATTTACGAGTGTGTGCGTTCAATTTTTGACGGTTTTGAACGTTAGTTTATTTTTTAATTTGATTGGGAAATTGGATTTTTCGTCGTACAGTATCGTCTAGTCTCATCTTATAAAGTCATTTTAATTGACTTCAAAATTCCCAAATCCGAAATTAAGATTCAACCCCCGTTGGAATTTAAATTTTAAATCCAACCTAAAATCAAAATTTAAATTTCAAATTTCGTTCTTAATTCGATAAACTACCGCCACCGATACCATCCTCGAACCAATATTCTGTTTAAAACCTCCCTTCGTCTTTTATTCCCTCGTTCCACAATTTACTTGTACCTTAATAAACAACAGAATAGAATCGAAATCTACACGTGAAATTTTATTTTTAATTTCGACACGCTAATACAACCAGAAAATTCTAGTTCTATAAGAACACGGTGTTCCTTGAAATTTTCCTTTTCCGTTCCAAGCTTTTCGTACAACTCGATAACACGTTCGACTTTTGCGACGACGAAGATCCAGCTTTCACCAAACGAGGATTAATCTCTCGTAATTCCAAACACAGGATTCGAACTACCAAACGAAAATCAGCTTAAATAGCAGCGAACTAACTCAAAGTCCGTCTACGTAATCCCAAATTCGCGCTGATAAATGATTCGAAATAAAAGAATAGAAGGTAGATCTGAATTGCAATTTTCACTTTTAACTTGAATATCTACCACCCACCGAAATAATATTCTATACAGAGACAAACGACCAATCTTTCCGAACAAACTTTCAGAACTCTCTATTATAATCTCGCGCGATTTCAAACACAAATCACAGCCAACTATTTCGAAGTAAAAGTCTGCATAAACTAAAATTCTCGTTAACGAACGACCAGAATAGAAGCTGGTTCTGCAGAGAAAGCTATTTTAAGTCGTAGAAATTCAGGTTTTGGCGAAGGTGTTAGAGTCACGCAAACAGGGTGCCAAGCGTCCATTATCTCAAATCACCGACGAAAAACGTTGAACCGATAATCGTCGGCATAGCCGTCAAATTCTCGTTACGGTTGATTAGCGAGAGAACCATCGCATGGCTGTCTCTCTATAAGCAGTGGCGTGCCGTGGCTGATTTATTGGTGACACCGAAGTCGTCGGATCAAAGGGCACACATATTCGAGAGAGCAGAGGCCTCGTCGGATAGAAATTGCAGGCCGCGATTGCTGTTCGACTCTGACAACTAACGGGCCAGCGATAGAGATACGTACACGCACGTACAAAGACACATTTACTCACCTGACACGGTGAGATGGACAGTTCTGATTAATGGCGGATGAGCACTGACTTGACACTCGTACACGCCGCCATCTCGTTCGGTAGCCGAACGCAAAAGCAACCGCCAATCATTCGGCTTCTCCAGGGCCAGCGAGAACCTAGAGTCGCTCGCGTACGTGTCCAAACCGATCGTGAGCAAGTGCAGCTCGTCGCCTCGTCTGCGAACCCACGACACCTGAAATCCAAACAGATGGAATTTTCAAAGGACGATCGAGGAGAACGAGAGGAGAGTCTAGGCTTTTAATTCGGTTTGTCGGACTTGTCGATATTGCGGTGCGGAGATCGAAGAACGCATCGATACTCTTGGTATTAGCATTGAACGTAGCGAGCATGTGTCACAGCGACCATACCCAAATCCACGTCATTTCACACTACCTGACGACGAACCTTCAGACTTTGACCTTAACTTGCACATGTCCTCTCCTTGTCCCTCAACTCCTACAAACTCAACGTATAAAAACTGCGAGCATTCGACCACGAGACTAGTCTTGGGTACCTAATTCCAGTCTTGGCCGCGATTTGAACAACTATTTTAATACTTTGTAGCTTCGCTACTTCGTTATAATATCGTCCTTTACCACTTTGGTGAATAAAAACGTATAGAAATATTAAAGGACAGTCGAGTTAAGCTATTGCTCGGTTCTTCCTTTTTTATCACGAATTTTACCTGACACATGCAACACAGCGTTAAACGTGACAGCGTTAGGTGTCATTACTACGATCGGTACTACGAATGACGTTGATAATGCGAAGAAAGCACGAAGCAATAGACAGGCGATAAGATATCGCGCGAAGGAATAAATGGCAAATTGAGATTGCATATTGCAAGAGCCTAACACGAATCTTCCACTTTGCGCTTCTTACGTAAAACAATTATCTCTGTCTGTCGCAAAGAAAGATTACGTCGCAGAATAAAATCTGCATAATTAGAAGTTGCATAATCGCGCAACCGAACGAAAGAATGAAAGAATTAATTAACGCTCAACGGGCAGAAAATCGTGTAAAGATCTTGCTCGTTCGTCGCGACACCATCGAAATCCAGTCTCTCGGAATCTGAATAAACAGAGAACGAAAGAAAGAAAAGAAGAAGCTTCGCGCCAGTCTTGTAATAAAAACGACGAGTTTGCCAACTTCGTTTTCGACGTGTATCGACGTTTTCTTCCAACCTACCTACATCGCATGAATGTATATTCCTGTGAGATTCTACACCGAAGAGACGCAGAAAGATTTCGCCTGGCGTATCAATCTCAAACACGAAAGCAAGTTATAGCAATGTAAATTTAATGTAAATCGGGCGTCCTTTCCACCTAGCAACACACCGCGTGTATTCGAATTCAAATATCACGTTGCTCGGTAGGCGGCTGGCTACTCCGATCTTTCTTTCCCTTGATGCATGCCATCCGAAATAATCACCTTGCCGGGTTTCAACGCGGCTCAAAGAGAGCAAGGTGTCGCAAACAGGGCAGCAAGTACGCAGTAAAACCCCGGAGAAATGAAAACTTCGTTGACGAAACCCCGGGTGTCACGATATCAAAGCGTCCTAGATTTTATCTAAAAGCCAGGCGCAGATAAGGCCGATCTTCTTCTATATACCGCGAACCGAGCAACGCGTAAAGAGCTCGAGGCTCTCCTTATGAAATGAATCCGAGCCTCGACCGATTGAAATTACCTCGGAAAGCGCTGTTTGGGGCCTAAGATTACTTTCAGGTACAAGGTATACAGTATTAGGTTGACCGAATAGTTTCTTTTATTTTATAAGGAAACAATATTAGTTTTAGATTAGATTATCGAATTATGCGCGAACATAATAATAGAAATAAAACGAAATGGATGAAACAGAAATTGTTGCTCGTCTGTTATCGCCTTATGAAACGAAAGAAACTTTTCGGACAACCTGATACATCAACCCAACCAATAGACGTTAGTTCCTTTAGAATTTTAAATTGTAAAATTTATCTTTTCGATAGAACACCTAAAATATCGCAGGCAACAAACGTTAGTTTCTTTAGAACTCGTAATATTCGGTACACAGGCTACCATCGCGGTGACACGCTCGTAAAATATGAGTTTGTTAAAATATGATATTTAGCGTAAAATCTTCGTATTTCTATGATCCATTATAAATCGTTCAAGAATTAATCCATTATAGCTGCGGGCCAGCTGGCAGGTTTCGAGAGCTCCGAGCGAAACGTCTGGCGGAAATTCCGTCGGTACAATTTAATACAGTGCTCGCAGTCGGTGTTCCGCAGTTTGATACGAAGGAGTTAAAGAATCGTTAGGCGCGGCGTGGTAGCCAGGAAAGGGATTTCGAGGCGCTGCACCGGCCTCGCCTGCTCGAGACGCAAAGGACAGACTGAACGGACGCCTATGGTCATTTGTCATTATTATAAAAGGCTGAGCAGTGAATAATTACATCTTAGGAAACTCGCTGTCCAACTACGCGCGTTTATTCCCATTTCTATTCACACGCTCTGTCCCTCCGGCGATTAATACTCGCGAGGAATTGTTAAATTGAAATCCGATGTTCTGTTCTGCGATTCTTTAGCCCGCTAAGTGAAAAGTTCGCTTGATAAAGCGGCAAGACTTTGATCGTAAACGGGGAAACATAGAGAGACAGGAGGATTCGCGGCAAGTTTCACGGGCGAATCGAAAGCTTCGATAACGGGACACAACCTGTTAACCTTTCTATCGTTGCAATTCGATCGAGAAACGTTGCAATCAATTCGGAAGCTTCGCGAAACTACATCTATGAGATTTTAATTCAACGATCGACAGAGAAATCGATACTAAAACAGCTTTGGAAATGAAACAAATTATTTAAAAGCAATAGAGAAATTATAACCGAAAGGAAAATGTCGATTCCTTGTAACGATTATTCGAAATAAAAGTCCTACTCGTGTCTTTTTATAAATTCGTAAAGCGATGGAACGATACAAGATCGAACGAGTAGAATAAGACCAAATCACGATCACACGACATAGACTACTTGGTATTCTTTCGTAGTAACGCTTTTTCGTGCCTTTGAAAGTGAAAGCTCGATATTTTGTTCGTTTCAATTTATATTGGATTGATTAAAAGAAAAAATAGAGCAAGCATCGGAGATCGATAATGCATCTACGAATATCAATATTTATCTTCCGTATTGCAACATTGAAAACGAAGCAATGAAACTAGTCAAAAAAATTCATCGCGTCGGATGTCACGCGTCGCTCAATTATTTTCACTTTGTCGATTGATTGGAAATTATTATTTCAAAACTGGAAGAAACGTGGCCTGTTTTCTCGGTAACGAAATAAAAGTACCGCTCAACCATTCGAAACACGAGGATCGTAATTTTTATTTGGAAAGATAATTTTAAAACAAGCGAATAAATGTAAATTTTATCGTCTTTGCGAGACATTTCTTAATGAAGACATAGAAGATTCGTTAATTCCTTCGTATTAATTAGATATGCACCTTTTTCAATCGATGATATTTTATAACTGTTCTACAAGGAGAAAATGGTCTCTTTTAATTAAGACAGTAACGAGTGAATACAGATACTTCTCATGCTCATTAAATTTTTCTGTCTCTGAACGAGGCCAAGACCGAATGTACGAAGAAATTAACTTTTGTTAATTGCAAAGAAAAAAGAGAGTTAAAACGGCTGGCATTGATTTGCCGCTTCATTTTAATAAATATTTCGTGTAAAGAGTATTGTACATATGAATAATTGCTTTCGCGATTAATAACGAATTCGCATGTTACGATCTCGTTGCGAGCAGCAAGGAAAGAGAAAACTTGATCGATCAAAATTAATCAGGTTAAAAACTTTGAAACTACTCTGTGATTTCTTACTGTTGAAAAGCCTCGTAACACCTGTTCTCAGGGAAATTTGGACGCTCTGTAATTATAGTCATTCTTACATTCGAACTAGAGGCAGAACTTCAACTTTGTTCGTCGATGAAGAATCTTTATTGTTATTGCGCTAATTAGACCGAATTTTTTGAAATAATAAACGGAGGAAGAAGTTTTAGTTTCGCAAAGTAGTCTGTGTCGTCTGATCCTAATTCTCCATATTCTATTTATCCATTGACTATTTCACTGATTCAATAAAATATTAAAATATTGACCGTCTACTTGAAGTCGTCGTTATGTGAATACGCGTGCATATTATCGGGTTGTCGTTTCGTTGCTCGATAAATAAATAATCGGCGTATTTTACGCAAAACAAATTTACTTTAGAATAATATCCAGAGGGGAACTACAAATTTTATTGTTTCTCGAACATCAGCTACGTTTGGAAGAATATCTTTCTTGTATCGTCTCGAATTATTCTTCAAAGATAAAGAACTATTTGCGTAAAAATGTATCTTTCATATTTGTTTCTCTCTTTTATTATTTCATATACAGGGTGGTTGGTAACTGGTGGTACAAGCGGAAAGGTGGTGATTCTACGCGAAAAAAGTCGAAAATTTGAATAAAAATTTAAAAATTTAAAAATTTTAAAAATTTAAAAATTTAAAAATTTCAAAAATTTTAAAATTTTTTAAATTTAAAAATTTTTTAAATTTAAAAATTTTAAAAATTAAAAAAATAACGTCAATCAAGACAACGATCCACTCAAAATTCAAAGTCAATTTTCTCGAAAACAAAGCCTCGAACGAAAAATGTTTATTCTATATTTTCGACTTCTTTTTTCGCGTAGAATCACCCCCTTTCCGCTTGTACCACCAGTTACCAACCACTCTGTATATAAATACCACGTGTTAAAGATGGATTATTTCGAATATTATGCTTAGCGCATTTCTAACGATACAAAACATATAGCAATGAAAGGCATCGTATCTCACACAAACTGAACTGTGCAGCACAAGGTTTCTTCGAAAGAATAACTCGACGATTCCTTGAAAAACTGTTGAAGTGGATCCCACTTCAAGGAAAACTCCACATCTTCTCTAAAGTTTAATTTTCTTAGTTCTCGAAGCTATCGAGTATCGTTTAGCGCTAAATCGATTTGAAGGGTCTCTCAGTCTCATAGTTTCCTAGGAACAAATAATACAACGTGGTACAGACAGGCCAGTTTTCCATAATTTTTAGGCCCATGACTTGGAAGTTCTTTGGTAAAGTAACGCTGCCTGTGTGAGGATCTGAACTAGCATACACATCCTACTTATACTTAAACTTGCCTAAATA